CACTTCAGATAAGACAGGTGGTTTCCTGAACTCAAGTCTGCTTCTTTCTAAGGCCAAACATCCTAGAACAAGACACTTGGGTTGATGGCCAAATTTCCATAAATTCATTGTTATTAGAAGATGGTAAGGAAGTTGTTTTTTACTTTTTAAAAAACCCCTCATTTCTCCTCTTTTTTTTTCTAGCAGAGAATGAATTCTAAAAGGAAAATACTGTTATTGATTTCATTTGCTTTATCACTGACATTGATTAAGCATCATTTCCGGTAAATATAAAAAAATTAATGAATCATTATCTTTAGTGATTGGGAGAGTTGATCTAAAAAACAAAGTTTTGTCCCAAGAAGTATTAATGAACACTCCCTAGATTAATTTTTAAAGTTACCTTCTCTTTGGGGAAAAATGAAATCATAAATATACTAATTCTTTCATTTTTCAATATTCAACAAATATTTCTTGAGCACCTCACCTTCTTGGTACCAGACCCTGTTCTAGGTGCTGGGAAAACAGTCATAACCCAAACAAAGTGACTGCTCTTAGGAAACTTGATATTCTAGGTAGAGAAGATGGACAATAGGCAAAGAAATACATAATATAATGTCAGGAGCATTGTATTTTATATAATAATGTTATTAAGAAATAAATGAGGCAAGATAACAGGGCAGAGTTATCTTGGGGGGGAGCTATTTTAGATATATTTTTAGACTACATCAAAGTTCCATCTAATAAGAACAAGACTCAAAGTAACCAGCTGTAGAAACACAGCTGTACTGGGGAAAAATTGGTTAGCCTTCTAAAATTTCTTACATAAATAAATTCAAATTCTTATCTTAATTATGTCTTCCTCCTTATAGTCTTCTTTTTTTTTTTTTAGTAATAAGCAATTCAATGTTACTGAATGCTATTTGAAAATTAGCAATATTGTGGGGGCTAATGACTTCTAAAATTAACCCCATCTCTTTGATAGCACGTTCTATATGCTATTTGCCCTCTCGGGTATTGTGCCTTGATAGAAAAAGCCAATGTCATGTCAGAACTGGGTGTTATATATTACAGAACTGTAGCATTATGGCTGGCATATAGTAAGGGTTTAATAATTATCTGGCTAACAAGTGAATAAATGAAGAAGTCTGAATTCTAGAGTTTCTGTTATTCTAACTGCAATAGGGGTTTGTTCAAATTTAACACTAAATGCATTTTTTTTTCATTTTTCTAAAGAATAAAGAAGCACCTACAGAAGATAAGTCTCTGCTCGTAAGAATCTGGATTTCCTAAATATTCTACAAAATGTGTTGAGGGCAAACTGGCTGGAGTCAAGTGGGTTCTAATGGTACTGGCAATCAGAAAGGATGGAAAACTAGACTGAATTCTCCAGAGGCAGCCACTGACAAATTTCTTGGGTATCAGTTCAGAAATATTCTACAGTGCATACATATATGTATGTGAGTGTGTATGTGTACACCTCCAGGTTTTGTTCACTCGACACATTCACCTGCTTACGCCAAACTAGTTTTTGATATTTGCTATAGTTGAAATATCTCTGTCCAGGATGATAGGATATTTTTTTTCAGATTGATAGCTCTCATTAGTCAACCATATTTTCTACTATTGACCATTGTGTAGGGCTTGAGAAATTAGTGAAATCAACCATGAAAAAAATGAACTTTGAAAAAATTCCTTATTTGTCACTGTATATTTTTAATGAAGTTCAGCATGGACAATTTCCTTTTTTTTTTTTTTTTTTTTGCTTTTTTAAAAGTATATCTTATTGATTATGCTATTACAGTTGTCCCACTATTTTTCTCCCCTTAGTCTCCCTCTGCCCTGTGGATGATTTTGATTTTGAATAAGCATGAGGCCGGGGAAATCCTATAATGAAATATCTTTGGCTAAAAACGCCTCTGAAATGTCAAAAAGGGATGCATTTTTAAAGGTTTTTAAAAAATATTTGATTTGAATTATAGATTCTCAGGAAGTTGCAAAGATAGTACAAAGAAGTCACATGTAACTTTCATCCAGTTTTCCCCAATGTTACATCTTACATAATTATTGCACAATATCAAAACACGACATTGTTATATTGAAACAATGTATGTGTAAAATTATATGACTTTTTATCACATGTATAGATTTGTGTAACCACCACAGCAATCAAGATATAAACTATTCCCTTAACACAAAGACCTCCTCTCACTTATCATTTATACTCACACACAACCCTTTTCCCTCGCCCTCCCTAGTACCACTAATCTATTTTTATCTCTCTAATTTTGTCACTTTGAAAAGTTTATAAATGGAATCATATTGAGTTAGCCAAAAGTTTGTTTAGTTTTTTCTGTACGAAGGCTCTAGCAGTGCTAAGTTGTTAACTTCATTCAAAACAATTTTGTTAGATTGTACTGTGATAGCTGTCATATCAGCATGCATTAAAAAAGAATTATCAAAATTGATGATTTTTTGTGCAGCCATTTTAATATTGAAAATAGAAGAAATTATGCAACATTTTAGCAATTATGCTTTGTTATTTCAAAAATGGTAAAAACACAACTAAAACAAAATAAAAAGATTTATGCAGTGTATAGGGAAGGTTCTGTGACTGATTGACCATGTCAAAAGTAATTTGCAAAATTTCTTGGAATTATTTTGGCCAAATAATTCTTTGCAGTGGGCTGTCTTGTACATTGGAAAATGTCTGGCAGCATTCCTGGCCTCTACCACCAGAAGCCAATGGCCAGAATGGTCGACATACTCAAAATATCCAAATCAATAAAGTTATTGGTGAAAACAAAAAATGTGTCTTTTATTTTACAGAAAAAACTAAACAGAGTTTTTGGCCAACCCAATACAGTATATATGGTATTGAGATAAGCTGAATGCACTCAGCATAATGCCCTTCAGATCCAGCCATGTTGTCATGTATAGCAATAGGTGGTTTCTTTTTATTGCTGTGTCATATTCCATGAAGGGAAGTACTAAAGTTTGTTTAACAATTCATCTGCTGAAGGACCTTTTGGTTGACAGTTCTTTTGTTGTGGCACCTGGAAAACATTGTTCCATTTCCTTTTGGGTCCATGATTTCTGATTAGAAACCCACTATCATTCAATTTTTTTCCCTATAGGTGGATAATTTTTCTCTGACTGCTTTCAAGATTTTTTTCAGCTTTTGCTCTCACAGATTTGACTCTTATGTGCTTTATCATGGATTTCTTCAGGTTTATCCTGTTTGGGGTTCACTCAGTTTCTTGAATCTGTATGTTTATGTCTTTCGTCAAATTTTGGGAAATGTTCTACCATTTTTTAAAATACTTTTTCAGTCCATCCCTTTTTCTCTTAGTAGTCCAAGTACATGAACGTTAAATCTTTTGTTACACATTTCCCTGAGGCTCTGTTCATTTTTTTCCCTTCCTTTTCTCTGTTGTTCAGACTGAGTGATTTCTATCATTCTATCTTTAAGTTTACTGATTTTCTCCTTCCATCCTCTCTATTATGCTGTTTCCATGGAGTTTTAAGCCTTTCCATTGAGTTTTTATTTTAGTTGTTGCATTTTTAAGTTCTAAAATTTCCTTTTGGTTCTTCTTTATATCTCCTATGCCTCTGATTAGACTTTCTATTTCTTGCTGTCACTGTCTATTTTTTCATTTATTTCAAGTGTTTGTAATTGCTTGTTGAAGCATTTTTACAATGGCCACTTTAAAATCCTTGTCAAATCATTCTAACATCTGTGTTTTCATGGCATCTGCAGATTGTCCTTTCTCATTCAGAGATCTTCTTGATTCTTAGTAAAATGAGTGATATTTTATTGAAACCTGGACATAAATCTGTGTTTTAACAAGCATCCTCTTATGCTGCTCAAGCTGGGCCATGGGTGGCACCTGCTCATCCCTGCCAGTTGCAGGGTCAGATTTCAGGTTCTCACTTCTGCCTCCAGGAAACCCGGTAGGGAGGGCTCCTTGTTACTAACAGCAGACAGGAGCTCAGACTTCCCACGTGCTCTCCGCTGACACCCACCACACAGGGAGGACCAGGAATGCTGAGTGGTGGTGGAAGCTCTTAACCTCCACCAGCCTCCTCTAACTCCACACTGGTGAGGAGGTGAGGGAGCCTCCTTTCCATCTGCAGAGGATGGAAATCTAAGCTCTCCACTTGGCTGCTTCTAGAGAGATGGGCATGGGGCCACAGTTTTGCTGTGGTATCGTGTTGGAGTACAGTGAGTAGTGTTTAAAACTTTTCTGTCTTGCAGGGTTGCCCTTTTCCTGGTCCTTTAGCTATAAAGAGCAGGCTTTTCTTGGGGCTCTGTTTGGGTCTGCCCATTGGCATTTCTGGGCTGCTGGCTTCCTTCACACCCAACCTAGGATCTATGTGACGGAAAATCCAGGGAACTCACTGCCACGTCAGTTTTTGAGTCTCAAGGTGTCGACCTGATCTGCCTTCTCTCCACCTTTCAGAGTCATTATATATAACGTCCAGGGGTTTTAGCTATACTTAGTGATAGGAACAGGGAAAATTAGTACTATTCCATCCTTCTGGAAGCAGAAGTTGCCTAAAGTTATTCTTATGGTACAAAATGTCCCTGGTTTATAGAAGGGAAATATCCTCATAACCTTGTTAACTAAATAATTAACTTAAAAGTTTACAACAAAACCTTAGGTGGGTCCTCTCTAAATAAAAATCAAAGATGAACATCTGGGCCCCTCTTCAACCCCTCCATTTCAACATGTAACAGAGTGTCTGTCACATAGTAAGCGACTAATGTTTGAAAAATGACTTAATTAAATCTGCATTTTTCTCTGAATATACATTATTTTTCTTGTTCTGTTAATGTTTAAAATATGACCCCAACCCAAACCATACTGTCACTTCCTTCCTGCCTTTGGTCATGACCTCCTCACCCTCTGTGTCTTTAGCCCTTATCTCTTCAGACCCAGTTTACATATTTCCTTTCTAGTTGGTTTCCCTTGGCCCCAAATTCAGGTCAGATGCCCCATTTACACATACATGCTCCCATGGAGATCCGTTTTTCCCTGTTAGCCTTTCTCATGCTGTACTATAATTATCTATTTAATCTTGTCTTTCCTACTAGATTATTAGCTCCTTGAGGGCAGGAGCTGATCTAAATGTTCATAGTTACCAAACCAGCACCAAATAGTGCCTGTCATGTAATGGGGGTGCAATCTATGTTTACAGAATGAGTGGATTACTCTTAACTTGATTTTCTCTTTGTACCCAGGGATCACGAAGCAGAAGAACCTCAGCTCTCAGACTGGTTTGATCCTAAGTAAGAACAAAAAAATTCTGCTCACAATATAATAATAATTGTATAACTCAATTCGAATGGAGGGAAATTTTTTTCCCCATCACCAAATTGTAGTTATCTTGAGAGGTTTTCCAGACTTAGAGTTCTTACTTTTAAGGCTTTTATGTACAAAACTAAGATTTATTTATAAAGAGTCAGGTAATTAAGGGTCATAATAAGAAAGCTATTATCTAGTTTAACATTGCTCATTTTGTTAGGGGAAGGAAAAAAATCACTTTATAAGTAGCCCCCAAAATGTCATTAATGACTTCCCTTGATTTTGGATTTTGGCATTAACACTCACGGGAGAAGCTCATTCTTTATAATAGCTATCTAGTATCTTATTTTATGGCTATAGAGCATAATTATTTCAGCTAACTCTATTGGTTTTGAATTGTTTGCAATTTGGTGGCTATTGTAAGTAATATTTTAATGGATATCCTTTTCAGGTGTTTTTGCACACTGTTGTGTGAATTTATCTGTGGGATATTTCTATCATTAATTTAAAAGGATATAAACATTTTAAATTTTAATTAAAGGGCTGCTAAAAGTGCCCTTTAAAGATTATGCCATTTATTTTCCAATCAGCAGGGGATAAATGTTAGTAAAATTTTATTTGTTTTACATATTTATATTTTATTCTAGTAGTATGAAATGTTATTAATGGAGAATATTACTTAAAATATCTCATTTCAATTTGCATTTCTGTAATTATTAAATGTCAGCATCTTTTTATATTTATTTCATTGTGAATTTTTTTCATATTTATATTTTTAAAATAGATACATAGAATTAGATTAATAATAATCCTTGCTTGATGACTCATCTCATCATTAGTCCATGCAAAATCTACTTATATTATTTATGTGTGTGCCTTCTTGCTTACTTATTTTTAATGAGACAAAAATTAGAACTTTCAACAACTTTAACATCTAGCTTTGTGTTCTTTCCAAGGCTTCCACTCTGTCTCTATACTCTGCAATGACCACTACTCTGAATCCTGATTTATCATCTCCTTGCTTTCTTTTTTAAATATAAATTTGTACCTTCTATATATATTCTTGGAAAAGTCTATCTTAAAATTTTAGTTGTTTATAACTTATAAAGAGTATATCATGCTGTATGTAATCTTCAGGGACTTATTTTTCCCCTAATATTAGATTGCTAAATTCATCCAAATATTGCATATTACTATCATTCATTCTGATGGCTGCATAATGATTGACTGTGGACTTATACCACAGTTTGTTCATCCATTGCCCTGTTAATGGGCACTTAAGCTGTGTGTAGGTTTTTGCTGTTACGGACATTTAGAACCTCTGCTGTTATATTTTCCAAAGAGTTCAAAAAGTTTACAATGTGAAAAATAATTATAGATAAAATAGCTGCTTAATATCTATCTCTGACCTCTCTCCACTCTAATCACACTGGCCTCCTTGATGTTCCTCAGATACACCAAGCATGCTCTCAGCTCAGGGCCTTTGCACCTTCTGCTCTTTCTGCGAGAATCATTCATCCTTCAAATAGCCAAATGGCTCATTCTCTCACTTCCCTCAAGACTCCAGCCACCCCATAAAGAACAGCACCCCCATTCCCTTCCTTCCCTATCCAGTTTTATTTTTCTCTATTGTGCTCATAATAATCCTTGGAAGGACTTTCTCCACTGAGAACTAGGAACTCTAAACCTCCTGAACCCAACATATTATATATTTGCTAGTTTGTTCATTTATTATCTGCCTCTCCTCACTAGAATGTGCCTAAAAAGAGACTTGACATAGTAGAGGCTCAATATTTGTAGAATAAATAAATACATAAAACTCTTGGCCTAATGGAAACGATAACACTTTCATAGCAATGTAATAGTGGTAGAAGGCATTCTTAATTAGAAGGCTGCTTGTGCTTTATTATTAAGCATCATGTTGGCTCTTAGTTTAAAATAAAATGACCTTTTCAATATTGAGATATCAGGGAAGAAGTTCAGCTTTGTTTTTATTTAGGAAAAATTATAAGTTTCAAGAAAATATAAAAGAATATCTCAGAACGGCCAAAGAAAGTGTGAAAAATAAGAGAATTTTGCCTAGCACCATTGTGATCAAATCAATATGGAATAGATCATAAGCATGGTAAATCCAGGATCAGAGCACAGTATGCTGTATGAAAATTGAGGTATAATAAAGATGGTATTTTAAAAATCAGGAGGAGAGTTACAAAGAGAATTCCCAAAGATAAAGGTCTGATCCAAGACCTCCAGGCACTTGAGAAAGCTCTTATTTGAAGCTTCCCTTCCCATAACAAGCTCTTAGAAGTTATGACCAAAATTCATTGTCTGAAATAGAACACATTACAGATTCACTTCATTTTGGGGGGAGGGAACTGACATTTTCTATCTAAATAAATACTTATGGCTAAAAAAATCCATGAGGGCAGACTGGATTATTTCATAAATGATGCTGGTACTCCTGGCTATCTAAGTGGTAAAAATGTGGAGCTCCCATCCTATGCCACATATAACAATAAATTCCTGATAGATTAAAGACTTAAATGTAAAAAGTGAAGCAATCACAAATCTTATTATAAAGTCAATAAGAGGACAGGTTAAATCTAGGTAAAAAGGAAACATAATTAAAACTTAATTAAAATGCTAGAAACGTAGTAGCTACTTAAGAAGATACATTTCACTACATAAAATTTATTTTTTAAATTATATTTTGTTGATTATGCTATTACAGTTAGCTACATAAAATTTAAAAACTTTTATTTGGTTTAAGAAGAATCAAAATTTAATAGATGAGAAAATTATCTGGGGAAAATTGTAATACAGATGTAATTATCCAAATACAAGGAACTCCTACAAACTGCTAAAAAATTAACAATTCAATAGAAAAAATATGAAACTCACAGTAAAGCAAATTGAGATAACCAACAAGCATATGAAAAGATGCTTACATTCACTGAAAACTAGAGAAATGTAATAAAATATAATAATGAGCTGCTACACCCATTAAATTGGAATTTTTAAAAAGCTACAGTCAAATACTGTAGTGAAAATGCTTATGGAAATGTGAAGTTTTACAGCCATTTAAAAAGCAACTGGGCAACCCCTATTAAAAATGAACATACATATGCAGCAATCCCACTCTTGGGACTATCCAGCAAAAACAACGGCGACAATACATAAGGATATAAGATTAAGAAAGTTTATTGTTATCACTTCTCATAGTGACAAAAAAAAAATCCCAGAAATAAAGTGAATACCCATTCCTAAGGAACTGGCTAAACAAACTGTCGAAACCTTGAAATATTATTCAGCCATCAGAAAGAATGAATAGGAACTAATATAGATCATCTGGAAGGATTTTCACAAGGTTGTGCTGGGTGAGAAAAGCAAGGTGCAGGAGTGTGTGCATCATCTCATGACTTTAAAATAAATAAGATTTTAAAAGCCTCCGTGTGTGTGTGTGTGTGTGTGTGTGTTGTATACATATTTTATATAGAATTATATGAATACAGAGGAAAGAAGAAAAGGGCACATACTAGGCTGGTAATATGGTGATCAAGCCAGGTAGACAGGAGGTGGAGAAGAACTTCCTGCTAGAGGAAGGACTTTCTCCATTGAAAACTAGAAACTCTAAACCCCCTGAACCCAAGGTCACAACGATGGCAGGTAAACATTCTATAAGGTAGAAACGAGATATGATCTTGAGTAGGAACATCCTCACATCCATCTTGCTTTATGGACTGTGTGTTCTAGATTTGAAAGAAATGTTATTCACATTGTTCACTGATTCAAAGCATTAATGGTGCACTATACAACAGGACCTCAATGTTTCAGGAATTATCTCTGAACTAACACTGAAATTGAGACTTTTCTTGGCCATTCCAGTTTTTACCAGGCCAGCTGCCCCTGGCCAGTGATGCACACATTCAGACCGGAAAACTTTATGGAAGTGAGCCAATTGCCATACTACTTTCACCATGAAAGTATACGCTGGGTGGAGGCAATGTTATGTGTGATACAATAGCAATGAATCAGATATTCTGCAAGTCAACAAAGCTGGCAGATTTGAAGGCAGGGAAAGAAAATCCTTACCCAGTACATGAAACACTCCCCCAAAGCAAAGATGCTGCCCCTTTCATTATGGAGTCTAATATAATCAAGCAGCCATCACTTGGGTGGCTGGCCCCCCTGGGAAATGGTGACATACGGTAGGCTCAGGGTTGGCCCCTGCTGATGGCAGGTTGGGCACTCAGCACTGGGTAATAGCTCCATCTCAGTAAGGGGATGTCTATGTCATTGAGCTCATGTGTCATCCCCATTGGACTCCAAGTAGCTAGGACCCCTTTGTACATAGACACTAAGCCAACAAGGGAAGTTAGGCAAGGCATCCAAAGGGTGGGTCACCTTGTCCACCTGATTTCTGAAGGCCTCCTTTGCAGAGGATGACTTCTGGTCAGCATTTAAATCAAATGACTCTAAGTCTCTTCTATTTCTTCCTCTTCTGTTTATCAAACACAGGTTTTCTATACACAGGTTTTTAACTGCCTTCTGTTTTCAGAGACTTTTTCTTTCACTCTGCAAACAAATCCTTAATCTGACCTAAGGAGGAAGGACGGACAATCTTCAAACCCTTTCATCTTCTCTAATAGATATTGATTTGTATCTATAGTGTACATAATTTCTAAGCATCATCACTGTGGCAAGGATACATCTGGCCAATTTTAAGATAGAGTTGAAGAGTTGAGAGTCAAACATGAAGAGGGACCCAAAGGAACCCAGAATTCTCTTCTGGAGGGCAGGCCCCTTGTCACACAGGCTTCCCCCGCTAGGTGAGTGTCCTAGGAACCCATCTGTAACAGTGCACCAGCTGGTGTTGCTATGAGAGGCTATGTTTGGCTTCTGTGAATTTTTTTTGAAGACTCTTTCAAGGCATTTGCTCATTTCATGATGGGTGGTTTATGAGTGCACCTGCCCATGCAGCACTGAGTATTTAGCAGTTTTTGACCAAAAATGGCTTGACCCCATGCCCCACACTCCCTATTTACCTGATCTCTCTCTATTTACCTGATCTCTCCCTATTCTCCGGACCTTGCCCAGAGCTATTTTTTTTTTGTGTTTGTTTCCCCAAATGAGAAAAAAAGTCCTCAAAGGGAAACATTTTGCCAATGTGGAAGAGGTGAAACAAAAAGGGTAGAAGCACTTTAAAGACATCAAAGTTGACTAATTCAAAACCGTTTTGAGCAGTGGAAAAAACATCTTGATAGGTGTATTCTATTAACTGGAGAGTACTTTGCAAGTGACTGAAGTTTAAACATGTAAGAATGACTACACAACTTTTTTAATAAATAAATTCAGGGGTTTTTTGGGGGGTCCCCCTTCCTATAGGGCTGGCTCAGTATTACTTGCAATTTTAGGCATCCACTGGGGTCTTAGAATGTATGCCCTGAGGATAAAGGAGAACTACTGTATATTATTGTTAACATATCAATACTGTTAAGGGTCATCAAATCCTACACTTACCTGGGTCTGGATTTGTAATGAAAACTTGCAATCACCAACAGCAAAATGGCTTCTCACTTTGTATGCATTTCCTTCCAAGATGAAGTTCTTAATTTGCTTTAGTTTAATGCCCTGCCTCCAGCAAAACTATTCCTACTAATGTTGCTACTTCTGCTGTCCTATTGTCATCATTAGAAGCAAATCTAATGTCATTCTCCCTTTTTGGACTAATTTTGTTTTCCTGCAGGTTGCACTGATGAGCCTAAAGGATTAGGGGAAAAGTGAAAGGAGTCCTCTAGAGCTTCCAGGAAAACAGGAGGGAGGAAAAGAAAAAGGAGAAGGGGGCGGTAAAGAAGACAGAAGGAGGCAGTCGTGCTGCCTGCTTTAGCCAGTAATCAGAGAAATGGTCAAACCTTGGGCTACTTAAGTTTAAGCTGCAGTAAGAGCGCAAAGGAAAAAAATCCCTGTGCTGAAAAGGCAGTACGGTGCAATGACTAATGCATAGATTCTGAAGTCCAACTAGCCGCTCTTAACTCTTGACTCTGTCATTTCTTAGCTGTGTGATACTAAGCAATTTATGCAACCAATCTGTGCCTGTTTCCTCATATGAAAAAGAGGATAATAATAGCAATTATATTATAGGACAGTGCAAGGATTAAATGTAAAGCACTCAATAACTGTGCCTGGCACATAGTAATTACTTTATAATCATGAGCATATTCACTTGGACAGCAACTTCTACTGTCATAAGTAAGTGGTATCTGCTTAACTTGTTTCTTGTTTGTTCAACAGAAAACGTCCTGATGTGATAACAACAACTGACTGGCTTGCTCCAATCATATGGGAAGAAACTTATAATAGACAGGTCCTGGAAAAATACTACAAAAGGCTGAACATTACCATTGGCTTGGTTGTATGGGCTACTGGAAAGTAGGTGCTACTAATATCCTTTTTTATTTTGGGAAAATTTATTGTAGATAAGCACCCAAGGACTTTCTGCACCCAAAGAGCTACTCATGATTAGCCCTAATCATTATTTCTGGCTGACCTGTATGTTTATTTGTCTATCGTAGTTATTTTCTTCAGTTGTGGCTAAGTCTTTAATACTACTTGGGAATCTCTTCATTAATATTCATTTAGCTCTCTTTTTCTTTCTTTACAACAAACTTTATGGTTCTTCTCAGGCCCCCAAATCACTGCATTCTCTTTCACTAACCAATAAAGATCCAGACCCAACTTCTCTACCCTTACCCACTGGTAGCTCTTTAGCAACAATGACATGTATTAGACAGCATGTTTAAATGACGTGTGTTCTCCTGATGATTTTTAGCACAATAAGTTTTTCTTGTTTTCTTTGTGTGTGTGTGTTTCACAGGTTTACAGGACAGTACCTGAAACAGTTCATCCAATCTGCTAATAAGCACTTTATGATTGGCCACAATGTTATCTTTTACATCTTGATGGATGACTTCTCCAGGCTACCTCCCATAGTGTTAGGTCCCCTGCGAACATTTAAACTATTGAATGTATTACAAGATAAAATGTGGAAAGACTTTAATGTCATATGCATGAAGAACTTGAATATGTACATCATAGAACACATCCAGCATGAAGTTGACTTTCTCTTCAGTATGAGCATGAACCAGATTTTCAAGCATGACTTCGGAGTGGAAACCCTGGGCAAATCTGTAGCTCAACTTCATGCATGGTGGTACTTTGAAAATGCCAGAAATTTCCCTTATGAAAGAAGGTCTAAATCAGCAGCTTTCATCCCTTTTGGAAAGGGAGATTTCTATTACCACAGTGCCATTTTTGGTGGCACACCCCATGAGGTTTTGACCTTCACTGTAGAATATCAAAAAGGAGTAATTGATGACATCAAAAATGAACTTAACAGCACATATGAACATCACCTAAACAAGTATTTTTTTATCAATAAGCCCACTAAGTTGTTATCACCAGAATACAATTGGGATCCAACTTTTAGAACTCCTCCACAAATTAAAAATATTAAGATAGTATGGCAGCCAAAAAGGATTTGATAGTTCTGTCATTAGATTTATGGGTTAATAAGTGAATCACAATAAGCACTTAAAGATAAAACATTAAATTTTTCAGTGTTTAGAGACTTACAAAAAGGTATGATCTTTCAAAATAAACTATTTTTCCCCTAATAATTTCAAAGCATCTAAATCTACCTGTACTGAATAATTAAATGGATAATTAAATGTTAGTATACAGTAATCTTATTATCTATGTATTTTAGATAATGTGGAAATATTTTTGGAAATATAAAATGAATGTTTTATGAAGAAATACACCCAGACTCTTGTTCAGAAAATATAGATGGATAGAGATAGATAACCACAAAATGTCAAGGGGATATAGGTAAGGGTAAAGATAAACATTTATCAATTCACTCATCAAATATTTATTCTGTTTTTCAGCATTGTGATAAATATTGCTTGTGATTAATATCCTCAATTTGTATTCAAACTAGTATCTGATTGAACTAAGGTGAACTAGAGACATTTTACCAAATATGTATTTTACTTTTACCATTACAAAGATATTAACAGCCAACAACAGCCAAAAAGGACCTGAATCCCCTCAGTGTAACAACCCTTAGGGAACTAAATACTGCCAACAACTATGAAGTGACCTTGAAAGCAGATCTCTCCCCAGCTGAGTCTTCAGATGAGACATCATCTCCAGTCAACACCTTGACTGGGGCCTTGTGAGAGAACCAGAAGGATTGTAGAAGATCTCGCTAAGCTATGCCCATATTCCCACCCCACAGAAACTGTTGGATAATTAATGTGTGTTGTTTTAAACTACAAAGTTTTAGGATAATTTGTTACACAGCAATAAATAACTAACACAGATTTTATACCTGAAAGCAAGACAATGCCATAAAAAAGTACCTAAAACTTTGTGGAGGTGGTTTTGGAAGCAGGCAGTACAGACTGTTAGTAGACATCGGGACTTGGAGGGCACCACTCAAAAGGAAGGAAGGAACATGTTATTGAAAACTGGAGGAAGGGAATCTCTGTTAGGTAATGAGAGAAAGTATGACAACATTGCCTCCTCTCATTATGTGGAAAACAGAACATGTATCTTATGGAGCTAAGGAAGCTTCCAAGCTTTCTTCTTGTTATTTATAGCAAAATATAAGGAGAGAGATGGACTGAGAAAGATGTATAAAATAAAATAACCTGCTATTTTGAGATTTCTGGTTCTAGACAAGATGATATAGACTCACTTTCCCTATTACTCCCCTGTAAATACAAGTAAGAATGCAGGACATAATTAGACACAACCGTAAAAGGACTCTGAAAAGTGGAAAGAGAGAGGCAGCCCAGCTAGGGACCTTAGTACTTGAGGAAAGCATGGAGGTGCATTTCCTGGGAGTCCTTTTTCTCCCATGTATCCCAGGCTGGGCACAGGAGAGGCCTACCACTCAAAACCACCAAAAGGTATAGAGAAAAAAAAATGTATCTAGGAAAAGTCAGATCCTTCTGGCTGAAGGCCCAAGAAAAAGGCAGCCTAGCAGAGACCTAGTGAGGAACCCCGTTCCCACTCCATACCTGGCTGGCCTGCTCTGCCTGCACCAGGAGCACCTGCGAGGAGTTGGCAGAGAATTCTGTCTACAGGCACTGACAGGCCCAATGTCTCCTGGCCCTCGGCTCAGCAGTGCAGGGAGACCCATGTCCAGCATCTGCTGGGCCTCCACCCAGTGGAAAGAGGTAAGGTAAGGGTGACCCCCACACCCCACTACCACCAGAGGCAGAGAGGCAGGCCCAGGATGATGCTTCCCTCACTCAGAAGCACTGACAGAGATGCTGTAGGAAGCCTGCTAATACCATGTGACCTAGAAAGAAGGCTAAAGGAGACACTTTGTGTCCACAGACCCAGCATCCTCCACTCACCCCCTCACAGCACTGGCATGAGGAGCCCAGGAAATCACCTTCCACCCCCTGAGGCAATACCAGCAGCGATCGGGCAGGCACCAGGTGACCCAGAGAACAGGCGGCCCAGAGAGGCTCAGGGAAGCACTCACTGCCCCGTGGCCCAGCACCCACCTACCAGGGCCTGCTGGGAAAGAGCACTTCACCCCTGCCAGCAGCATCAGTGGGGTCGAGCTGGAGTCCTGGTGGCACTAGGTGAACAAACTGGACCAGAATAATGTTGTATAAGCTCTGAAACCTGTATTGTCACTGGAACCACAGCCCCCCAAAATAAACAGAAACAGGTGAGTTCTCTTGCGGAAATAAGAGATTTTTATAGGATCTAGAGTCTCAAAACTTAATACTCAAAAGTCTAGAATACAATGAAAAAAAACCACTCATACTGAGAACCAGAAAAGTCACAACCCAAAAAGGAAAAGGCAGTCAACAGATGGTAATACAGAGAGAAATCAGATGCTGAAATGATCTGACAAGGATTTTAGAGCAGTCATCATAAAAAATGTCAAAACGATTCATTCCAAATTACCTCAAAACAAATGAAAAATAGAAAACTTCAGCAAAAATGTTTATTAAATGAATGAATAATGTTTAGCATAAAAACACCTATGGAAAGGCATATATCATAGACTCATTTATACAGGGTGTGGCAAAAATAGGCTTACAGTTATTTGCATGGAATATATACAATAATTAATAAATGATACAAGAATCAACTCTGTTTCACATGCAACTGTGAACCTACTCTTGCCCCACCCTGTATGTTACTTTGTAAAACCATGCCCCTGCTCAGGACTCGGTTATGATTTCCTGTCTCACTCAGAATAAATGTGGTAGCTCTTACTGTGATTCCCGAAGGCCTCATCTCCTAATTCTGTCCCCCTTATTCAGCATATCCCTCCTTCGTGTTCCTCAAACTCACCAGACACACTTCCAGCTCAGGGCCTGTTCCTCTGCCCCAAATGCTCCCTCACTACCTCTGTTTTTCACTCAGAAGTAGTCTTCTCAGGCAGGCCAACCTGAACACGTGATCTAAATTATAAAGCTCCCTCCCCCGCCACTTGAAACTTAATTCTCCCTTCCTTGATTTATTTTTTTCTGTTTAACATTTATAACTATACAGCATAGTATATGTTTTACTTATTTTTCTTATTTGATCGTCTTTCTCCCCACAAGAACATAAGCTTCCATGAGTTCAGGATTTCTGGCTGTTTTAGTCACAGCTGTGATCCCAGTGTCTAGAAAAGTAATCGCCATATAGAAGGCATTCAATCGGTATCTGCCGAATGAACAAACAAACAAACGATTGATGACTTGGAAACTGCCCTCGGGTTCTTCAATCATCTGCTTTCTTTTAATAATCTAACTAGGACAAAGGAGAAAATGACAATTAACACTAGATGGCGCAAGATCACAAAGAAAGTAATTTTAATCAACGTATCCTTTCCTCCAGACTGGAATTGCTTCCAGAAAAGCCTGAGTGCTGCCAAGTTTTCTCTGGCTTTCCCCTCCCCAGCCTATTGATGTCACATTTGCTGCACAGCTCACACTTCACTAAGTTACGCCCCACATGCATGAACGTTCTTCTGCCCCCGCCAAGTGTTTCAGTTCTGCAGCGCGCCAAGTGCATTACTTTTTCCTCCCTATGCCTGGCAAGCCCCAGACTATCTTCATCTGGAGTCACCAGCGAAGCCTTACGTTTCTGGGGCTGTGGTGTGGTGTGGTGTGGTCTGCGATGAGAAAGAATCTGCCTCCTCTGAGTTGCACTGTTAGAGGGGGTCACAGATTTTAGTTCCAACATCCTCTCCCCCTAGACCACATTAGATCCATGGATTCCAATGGGGACAGATTTCAATAGCAGCAACCATGGAGTATTAAGTAAGAATCATCACCAACGGCTCTCCTACTGGGCCAAGTTAAAGGCATCTTCACTGCTCACTTCCTAAGGACTGATTATCCCAGGTGACAGTGCTCATGCCAAGAAGCTCTTGTCACTAATCTGCCCTGAACAGTTCATTTTAGGTAAGGTGACCAACTGGTCCCAGTTTGCCAGGCACTTTTCCCCTTATAGCACAGGATGTCTCGGGTTCCCGGAAATCCCTCAGTGTGGGCAAACGAGGACAGGTGGGAACTCCACCCTAAACCCAGATCTACCTGAAATCTACTCCACCTCAAACCACAACCGCATGCCATAGCGTAAAAATGTTAACACATATACAGACTTCCGTTCTCTCCCATTCCAAATGTCTTCAGTCACCAATTCTAACTCCTTTGTGTCAAGTACATTCATTTTCTCCTCTACAGTCTCACAGTAAAAGTGGAAAACTCCTGTAACGGCAACAACCAACACAAAAAAGACAAGACCATGCAGATTCAGAGCCTTCAGGAATGATGCTTTGGATCACACCACCTGGTACAGGTGCTGCCTCAGAGGAAAAGGAACATGAAATGAATAAAAGAAGGGAGTGACAAATATCAACTATGGGCTCATGACCAGACAGACAGTACAAAGGTCTATACCTAAACATTATTTTCTTCTGTATTTAAAGTATGTGTGTTTATGCATTTTTGTATATATTAACAATTTTTTTCTCCTTTCCCATTGTAATTTTAAGAATCAATAGCAGTGATTAACTGTACAATTTCATCTTAAGATTAGCAAATATTCAAGAGGGGCAATAACTGAACTCAAAGAGTAATTAACATCATCCAGAGATTAATGTAACATTTGGGACTTTTCTTTTAGGGGAAAAGGTGAGAGTGCCTATTTCTACAAAAGATAATTGCATCTTGCTCAAGAAAAGCTGAAAATTGTTTATGCTGTATGGGAAGTTGAAATAGATGTAGAAAGTTGTATATGGACTGAGTAGGTCAAATGATGAGCTGTGTCGGTTACTAAATCGTTTGTCTGTTGATCCATACCCACCCTTTTATATTCTGCTTTTTGATACTAGAGCAGACCAGGAGAACTACGTTTCTACTTTGCCAGTTAACTTCCTCTTCAATTCTGCAAGGCAGATAAGGGAGAAAACATACATTCTTTCCCTGACTGTTGTTTATCAATGATAATGTTCAGC